CCGCGGGTTTTAATCTGGGCAGCGGCGATTAATTGCGCCGTGCGAATTGCGATCTCGGTGTCTTACCGCGCGCAGGTGCATCAATCACCGGTCCCGCGGTGTGCCGTTATTACGGGGCGAGCCCGGAGATAACTTATCACGCCTAATATCATCGATCTAGAGACGCACCCGTGCATCCGCTTTGCATTTCGATTATGTGCTACGCGCAATGTCGCCAGGCGGGCCGGCGACTGCGGCAACCCTACGGGTAGTGACTATCGAGACGTTGATGCATGCTGCTGCATTTGAGATGCGCCGTTGCGCGTGGGCCAGGAGCGGGAGACACCGTTCGCGGCTAATTGAAATCGATGATTTTGAATTTCGTTATCCTCCAGAGTGAAGGAAGGGTGAAGCGACGCATGTACGAAGAAGACCGGCAAACACACCTAACCTTTCGATCCGCTAGGAACGTAATCCGATTGAATTCGACTAAATTTGAATTCGACATAATTTAACATAATTTGCAAATTCTCTTTAAGCTATAAGTTAGAAATCGGTAAAGAAATCTTCGCGTTAATCCGTACAACGGTAGTACGAGTATAGAAAAATAAATAATTCAGTTGATCGATGAACGTTCGTTTAATTACGATTGCGGCCGAGATATATGATGCACGATATGTAGAGGAGACCTAATATCCGAAGGGCTCAATAGCTCGCGTGATCGTTAATTCCTGATTGTGCGTGTTTTGCTCGGCCATACCTGCCAGTGATTTATGGAGGAAATAGCACTACTTCATCCACAATTTGGAACATCCGCTAGTCATCTCGATTTCCGCTGGACTTCCGCCTTGCGTTCTGCTAGTCGTTACGTCTGTCACGGGACTTTAAGGTCTGCGGTAACCGTGCCATTAACTATTAAATTCCACCGATGTCGATTAGCTTTAACTGTACTTTAATCAGTCGCTGCTTTTCATGTAGCTATTCCGCTATGGAATATATCTATAGAATTATCGTAGGATGAATTTTGTTATGATATTTTTATTAAAAAATATTAAATTATTAAATCAGTCTGACTTAAGTAATTGAATTAAAACTTCAATTATGTTTAAGTTAATCTTCAACTTAAATTTGTAGTTTCAACTAAATCAGAAAGTATGTAGCAAAAAATATTTCGTGCGATTTTTTAAATAATTTGATCGATTAAATAATCAATCAATCATACAGATTCGAGAATTGATTACAATTACTTCACAGTTTGTTCATAATAAATTCTATGGAACATCACAAAGAAATTTCTCGAGTACATGGGTTAGCCACATTGCTGCGCATACACTTGTACATGCGTCAGAAGCGTATATGCGACTCAACATGGTGGGGCGTCAGTCGCACTCATCATTCAGCGTTTATGTCCCAACTGTGTTAGACGATTGGGCTTTTCAAGCATACACCAACTTAGCATCACGCGCGCGATCCGTCAGTTTGAGCGGTTTTCGGAACACACCAGGTACGTGAAGCTGGGGAATGAAACACACACAAGTCAAGCGTGATTTACGAGCGGGGGGAATTTGTGAGGAAAGTGAAAGTATTTTTTTCAAACGTTGATATTTTTATCTACGGATAATTTAATATTAGAGAAGAGCGCGACAGGTACGAAAAAATAAAAAAATGCAGTTTTTTTTTTATTTACGAAACATCGGAGAAAAAAAGAAAGGGGGAGGGGCTAAAATCGGGGATGCTTTGAATATAACCTCGTATTGCCGATCGCGATTAAATGGAATAATCTCGATTAGTTAGGGTACAACACGCGGAGAAAAAAAATAAACGCATTAAAAGCTATCGGCAAAAGGTATAGCTAAAACGCGTTCGCGCGATGTAATCGCTACGTAATCTCCTCACCGCAGCTTTTCATACGCATATATCCAGGGGTAGCATCACCGCGCACGTGAAATTACCTGACCACAAAAATCAGCTTGCTGACCGCGCGAGTCCAGTCGCTGCCACGCGAGTCCTCTTACGTAAGGCCGGCCTGCGTTCTCGATTAGCGGATGATGATACACTACTCATCGGGCACACACTCTCAAATTTCACGTCGTCACGACGAAATTGCGAGCTTACGAAATATTTCTATCGTCGTCAATCGCAGATCACGGGCTCGAGACGCGCGTTTTAGCGCGCGTCCCACACGCGGGTCGTAATCTCGTGAGTGCCTCGCAGCCGATTTTCGAAATGGCAGTGGAGAAAATTTTTTTTTCAAGCAGCTTCGACGACTCGGTCTGGATGGTATATTCTACAACGCGAGGAGATCGATACGTAGCTCGAGGCCCGAAGCCAAACCGTACGTCATGTGGCATAAAACACAAGGTTAGCCTTGTACGCGTGCATGTGTACGTTCCGTGTGTGTGCATCCCACACATTGACGCGCACGTGTTAGGATACATACGAACACGTACGCATACGTCTCTGACAGAGACAATCAAACGCGTATTGCACATTACTCCGCACAGAGAATTCACGCTATCGCACGCATGTATAATCGAGATGGAGGGAGGGGAGAGGAAGTTTCAAGTGCGAGATGCGCGTTAAGGTATCTCCGCGTGACGGGTTCGCGCGTTGGAACACGACGACGCAACGTGCGGACGCGCGCGTTTGTGCGCACAAGGCGCGAGTGCATACACGCATGTTCCCCATACGCGTGTCCGCGCGCGAGTGCGTGTGTGTGGCGCACATGCACACGGACGATGACCGTACGAAATCTACGGAACTACCGACAGACGCTCCCCGTTACCACCGCCAGCAACGCCCACTCTTCTAAAGTTGCCAAGACCTCGGACAATGAGTCCCGGCGAGACAGTGGCTCTCATTCGACCGACAACAAAGCGAAATCTTGGCAAAACCGATGATCCGAGAACGGAAGCGACTGAGAGCGATTTGAAACGCTGTGGAAATGAGGTCGGATGCCGGTTTACTCCTCGGTGCGCGAACAAAAACCGAGGCGGCTTCCTACCTCTACGCTCGAGTGTACTCGATGCATTTAACTCTGATTTAGACCTAATTCTGCTATATGAGATCGCTACTATACAAATACAGCAACCTGCATGATGTCTGTAATAAGACGGATTCCGCGTGAAAGGTTCCTCTCCTGCAAATAAATAATACGATTTATCGGTGAAAGTATACACACAGTCTTACCAATAATTTCCAAACTTCCGAAAATTAGATATTTGCTATAAATGAGCAAAAGTAACTTAACAAAGCTCGCGAATCGGATTTAGTATGTACAATTCTGTATGTACTGTCTAGCAAAACCGATGCGATCCATCAACGAGCGCCTCTATCGTACGAAGGAACACTATTCGCTGGGTGCAATTTTACCCAGCTCCCGGCCACTATGACTTCTTGCGATATTGCGATATTCTTGCTGTATGCCCGGCAAAGGTTGGCACACGCGTCGCTTCTCGGCGCTAAGGGCTATTTTCATGACAGGGGTTGGGGACGGCGATACCAGAAGCATCGTACCCTTTCGGTACCATATTACGGCGCGCACATAGCCTGTGTGTACCCTATATTACGCTTAATCGCCTCCATTATTTACGGGGGTTGCAGAGTACAGCCGAGGGCGCCGCGCGTCTGCGATGGTCTCCGCTCGGAATCTCTTTTTCCGCGTTCGCCAGTTATACCGGGCTTTTTGCGTTTAGCCATTTCAAGGAAGAACCATATCGGTGCCAGCGCAGCTGTTCACGAACGTTCAACGTAACAAGATATTGGCATATTTATTTTCGCACGTGAAAAAAAAAACGCGTCTGATTTGTTTCTATCAATTATTGGCGAAATCTGCCGCTGATATAAAATTGAAACCTACATCATTAATTGTGGAATCGCATGAACGCATTCTGAACGCATAAAATTAATATCTGTATATTTTAGGGAATATCGATTCAGTAAATCGAGGGTAGATTAAGGTAATATTTTCGAGTCTATATTATTCTCAAACCATGTTTTTGTGCCTTGAGTGTGAAGCGATAAATGCGATTTAGATATTTAAATCAAATATGAGAGATTTTAATATTTCTTTAATAAAGTTACCGACAAAGAGCTATTAGTAATAAACGTCAGTCAGTAGCCAGACAAGCATTGTCATAATATTCTTCGTGTACAAAAAAACATTACATAAATCTGGTATGCTGTTCTCTTTGAGGAACAAAAATCGGCGACGAGAAAATCACTTGGGGAGGACAACGAGGGACGTGGTTTCTCGCTTTGTCGCGAGACCACGGTGTTCTATTTCGGGGGCGTTTTTGGGAGGGACAGGACGGGACGGGACGGGACGCGACGCGACGCGACGCGACGCGATGTGATGTGAAGAGAACGCCTCCCCTAAAAAGTCAATTATTTTCCCGGTCTCTCTCTCACACGCGCACGAATCGGCGCGGGAGATCTTTTTAGCGATGACCGAGGTGTACCAGGCGCGACTTTCACACGTGGGTTCTCCCGCGGGAGCGAACGCAGTGTGTGCGCGCGCGCGCGCGGTCTAATTATATCTTACTTTGTTTGAGTACAACGCACCTTTCGACACGCACCCGCTGTGTTCCTTCTCCTCCATCACATCCTCCTCGTTTCTCCTCCTGCCACCTTCTCCACGAGTGCAGCTCCGCCGCTGCTGGCTCGACTGACGCGGCTCCTCCGCGTCGCGGACGTTCTCCAAGCGCCGCCGGCGACGATTGGACGCGCGCCAAATCGAACACGATCGCTCGTTAAATCGAGTCGCGATTTACGTAAATTTCCTGTTCCGCCGAACGATCTCCCGTCGCCCCGTGGGCGTGCGCCCGTGATGATCGCGAACTTGTATCCGCTGTGAGGAGTATTATTGTAAACGGGAGACCCCCACGGATCAAGGTCTTGCCTTTGCTACATACGTATGTTGCACGAGATTGGAAAGAGCTCTTCGCGGGAGCTATCGTCCACCTGCTCCAACTTTGGAATGCACGCAAATAAATATATATTTTCCTTTCTTACTTACGTACTTTTCGAAGTGCTTCTATTTGAAGAAGTATTACCGTTGCCTCTGCGATTCTAACATCTTTTGTCGAAATTGTGCTTTATGCGAATCTGAAAAACAAAAATTCGGAAAGCTGTTAATTATTCCAATTAAAAATATCTCAAACATTTTTAACTTTTTCAAAAATTGTAATTATTGCATATTTGAAAAGCATATATTTTTCTTTCTAAACCAAAGTATATAATCTGAAAAGTTAATATATTTCAAATATTTTTAGCATTTTTCTTCTTAGCTGTTGGAATCTTTCTTCAGCATTTGATAAAATCCAACTTAATTTAGCGAGTCTCATTGATATTCTCCCGAGTGAATCGAGATCGGTCGACAAGATCGGTGAAGAGACAAAGCGATGCGACGAGTAGAACTTTATAAAATCTCCCGTCCGATCTCCTTTGCCTTTTTCTTCTACTTCCCCCCCCCCTCTTTCCCCACCCGTGAAACACTTGAACGAGCACGCATCCTCGTGACTCGTCTTTCGTTTCGAAAATCCCGAGTGACCTACTACCCCGCTGATTCGCTTTACTACCCCCGCGGGACGGCGGCAGTGGCGTGCAATGAAAAAAAAAGAGCAACGCGGGATAAAGTATGGGTGTCGGCGGTGTGTTGGTGTTGATGTTGGCATAGGAGGAGGAGAAGGAGGTGGTTGGCGGGAAGGGTTGGGGAGGAAAGGCCGAATCGTTTAACGAGTCCATCGCACGAACGCGACGCGAAATGAGCAGCTAATCGATAGCGGTTCATTGAGTTTCGGCCTCCACGTACGTCGATTCCCCTCGCTCGGTCTTCATCTCCCTCCGCCCACCCGTCCGCCATTCCCTCATTCCCTCCACGCCGCTCGCACACTTTGTAGATTTATCGTACGCATCGCGACTAGCGATGGCATCGATATCGCGTATCCATTTGACGCTTGTTTGATACCTTGATTTGTTCCAAGTGCGAACTTCCGCGGGATTTGCAATAATTTTAACACAGTAATGTGAGTTAAAACTTACGAGAACTCACAGACTTTTGCTATACTTATGAACTCGTTGGTTAATTCAAACAATTCCATTCGATTTTACTTATTCCGTCAATTCTTTCTCTTGATTTTTAGAAAGATAATTACTTCTATGGGCATTTAATACAGTTTTTTTTTCAGGATTGTGAGTTCAAAAGCCGATTCACACACTCTTCGTTACGTAACACTTAAAATACGATTGAGAAGATTTTGAGAATATTACGTGCATTTCTGCGATTCGAAAGCCATTTTAATTTTCTACTAATTCCTGCAGTTTCTAGGAAGTAATTACTGTTACGTCCAGTCATTACAGCTTCTTCGGGAAGCGAGCTTGAAACCGGTTTGTCATTAGTCGCTATTGCAATAACAAGACAATAAAAGAGATACGCCTAGGCAATGCGATAACAAAACTAGATTAATACAGTACTTTTATCGAGGGCTACCTTCTTGTGTGACACTATCTCCGCAATCTAATATTAAAACGATTTTTAAACATGCGCGTATTAATTATCTGAAATCGCGGACGGGATTTTTCAAACTCTCTTTGTTTCCTTTCGTTACAATTCGCTCTTCATTACTCGGATCTTAGCACTTAACGTTTCTTTCGAAGGCGCAATATCGACGCCTTTTGAATTAATTATCTGACCCGTGTTCAAGCCTTATCCGTACGCGTGCACTCGAAAGCCATCGCTAGCGCGCAGCGCGGCGCCGCGCCATCCCTGCCCGCCCGTGTCTCTTTTTCTCTGTCTGACCCGGCGCGGATCACCGCACCACCCCCTGCGTCCCCCGGCCCCTTGCCGGCCTGTACGCTGTGTCAATCGTCTCTTTCACCCCTACCTTTTGTCCGCGTGATACTCTCGCCGGCGACGCGGCGAGGCGGGGCGCGAGCGGGGACGCCGCGTGCTGCACGCCGACGCATCGGCGTAATAGCGGCGACGAGACGCGAGGGGAGGAAAAAGGTCACGTGGGTTATCTGGCCGTTCCGTGCGAGAGCGTGTGCGCGTCTTACGTTGGTGCGTCAGTCGACACGGCGACTCCGACGAGTCCGCGGCGGTTTAAATATAAACGGCGACGCGTCCGCGCCGCCGCCGCCGCCGCCACCGCCACCGCCGCTGCCGCTGCCGCCGCGATTCCTTTCCGGCACACCTCGGGTACCGGATGCGGGTCACGCACCGGTGGGTTTCTCCGCTGAGGGGGTCCGGACCAAGCCACACGCGGGTTCCATTTTTACACGCGGGGAATTAATAGGAGCAACGAGAGAGGGATCGAGCGCGCACTACTCGGGATAATTACAGAGTTCTTGTTTAATCACGATCGCATTTTTTTTCTGATAGATCTACGTCTAAACTTTGTCAGTTGGATCAATTCATTTCATGTGGTTTTCGTTACAGCTAAAAATAAAGGTTTATCGCAAATTTGAAAACTAATTCTAAGATATGTATTTATCGCGAATAAAGCCACCTCGAATTTTTTTTTTCATTGAGATATCTGTTTTATGTCATTCACAACCGTTTATATTTTTATCCATTATATTTTCTATTACTTGCTTGTGAGACGATTAACTAGAGAGTTTTATGTTTCCCTTCCTTGTAAATCCTAAAGATGACAATCCACAAGATTTATTTCGCCGTGTAAGGGTGGTCAACACGTTGCTGATAATTTCAGTATAATTCATATTACTCGTAGGTAGGGATCGTACATATATACGTATCCGGCTAGGAGCGTATTGCAACGCGTGGGTGGACGCTGTACGCGTTGTCATTTCTACGGTTTTATCGCTTTCATGCGTTTTGTTCACCGTCGATTTATGTCGTCTCAGCATCACGCGTTTCTATCGTGCGAGCTACCACAATAATTCGCAAGCTCTCTCTCTCTCTCTCTCTTTCTCTCTCTCTGTGATCAAGCGAGGCAACGTTAAAAGTTTCTGGGTACGCAGGAAACCGAACACCCCGTAACGACGACCTTGAATACTCTCCCGCGCGTGCGCCCGCGTGCACGCTCGGAGATGGTTCGTTAAACCAGGAATGTGTAGGACTTCGTTACGGAGTTCCGCTTTCATTACGGATCGCTCGAATCTCGTCAATGACTTAAAGCCGAAGAGCGGAGACGCGCCGCGGAACTCTGGACGAGAAAACTTTCGTCTCGTACTTTCTTTATTGGATATTTAGTCTTGTTAATAACTAAGCCCCGCGCGTGCTAATTCCACGCAGGTGTTCTTGCTATCCGGATAGGGAATACACGACGTAATAAATATGTCCCTGCCGCAAAACATCCGCCTTGACAAGATCTTTATAATTGTATATAAATACCTATATAAAAATTCATGGATCGATACTACAAAAATTATAGAGATATTAATTACTTTGGAGGGTTTAAACAATTATTTCTCAAATTTATAGCAATTTTCAAGTTAAAATCAATCAAATAATACTATTTTCCTGTCTCTCTTGCTTTCTCTATGCATCGAAGATTAGAAAGAAATGCCTGAATAATTTAATACAGTAGCTATTTTCTTGACAAACAAGTTTTTTTAGCTATACTTTTACTTTCGCTCAATTCGTACAAAGGTAATCCGCATGAACAGTTAACGCCACCCATCTCGCAAGAAACCGCGTTCTCTGCATATTTTCGCAGAGTTTCGCAAAGTTAATTCGCACGTGCAGCTTTGATCGAATACCTCCTTTCTCGCGCGTTCAATGTGTTTCCTTCTCTAACCCTTCCTCATGTATTTTTCCCTCTTTTTTGTCAGTCAGAATGTGCACACGTGCACACACACGCATACACATATGTATGTACATACATACACGCATATACCTCATCTTCGTTTCCTTGCCGCGATAACCGCCAGCGGTTTTGAACGGCTCCATTCCCATCACCGGAAGATAAACTCCTATAAAATCTCACTGGTGCGCCGGTTTAAGGCGCCTCACCACCGTCGCCGCTCCTCGCAGACTGTCGATATTATTCTCCGCTCTATCCGTTCTCAGACGCGGGGTGGTGCGAAACGGAGTTTCGCCTCGTTTCGTTTTGCTCAATTTTCGGCGACTTTAGAGCGAGGAGGAAAAAAAAACTGATTCGAAATGTGAAAATGCGGAGGAAAAAGTAAAACGCGTGGAAGAGTGGTGGCGGGGAAGTTAAAGAGATGGGTGATGCTGCGAAAAAGCAGGACGGATGGACCGACCGATGTCGACTGAAAGGGAGAAGAGAGAATCGCATCGTATGGAGCAAAAACGATCCCAGACGCTGACGCTTCTGAACCAGTAAAAGTTTAAGCCTCCGTCGTAACTCGCAACCTGTTATGCTTCCGCGACACCGATCATTTCTCGCGAACTGCCCCCGTGATCTCGCCGTTTATGCGACAGTTATCTCTCCGAAGCGGCGGCGGCGGCGAGAAGAGAGAGCCTCTTCACATGGAGGCGATGTAACGAGCGCTGACATAGCGCCCCGCCGCGTTTACTATTTAGCGCGTTCGCCACTTTGGAACGTTCATTCGTCGATCTGTCAACTCGTTGCGAATCGAAGATGAAATTCGAGATGCGTCAGTAAAGTATGAAAGTGACATATTCCAAAGAGCTGATGTAATTTAAGACTTTTATGTTTCAACGATCAGTTCTTTAATAATCGGCATGTATATAAGTAAATTAGTACTAATTAATTTTATATAAGTATGTCAGATTCATGTTGGACAGAGCTGGAAATTAAGTCGTTAATACGTAATATTATTTAAGTGACTTTTTCTGAAAAGTATGCCACTTTTTCAAATAGATGACATCGATGCGCTGAATCTTTATTAAATGCGGACAGCACTAAATCTCTTTAGATTGTATCTACCTGTACATCAGTAATATATTTCGAGATTTCGGCATTTGATTTCTAACAAGTATCGGACATCACGACGTACTTGCAGGAAGTTCGTTCGGTATATCGGTAAGATCGAAAGTTCGACGCGGGTCGGCTCTCGTTGAGAGCAATTGGACGCCCGCATGGCCAAACGCATTAGCCGCTTGATTGGTATTCCAAAGATCTCCGTTGTGGGAGAGTCGGAGGTAGTTTCGTCCT